TAAATGAACTTACAAGCTACTGAAGTGTGGAAAATAAACATGTCAGAAGAAAATAAAACAGTTTAACTGCTACAAGTTATTTGTGTAAATAAATTTTGACTATTGTAAAGAAGACTTTTAATATAAAATTATATTGTTTCTTTTTGTTTGTTTTTAATGTTGTTCAATGCTGCAGATGGGACAGTAGGTGAAACACTGATGGCCATTTTGTAGAATTTTGTCTCCAGAGTTGTAACTAAGTACAAATACTTTGTTACTGTACTTAAGTAGAAATTTTGTTTATTTGTGCTTTACTTGAGTAATTATTTTTCAGCCTACCTTTTATTTATACTCCTTACATTTTCACACAGTTATCTGTACTTTCTGCTTTTTACATTTTTAAACAAGGTAAGAAGTAAAGTCATTACCTCTGTTTCATTTCAGCTCATTATTGTTAAAAATATTATCCTGAGAAACTGTGCCTCCTGGAAAGAGGGAATTTAATTGTGGTTGAATGAGAAGTATAAATACATGTATATACCATTCTGACACCAAATTGTACACAATCCATCACAGCTGCACACCTTTAGAAAGAAATATATTTTTGGAAAGTTCACCTCCCAATAAATGCCATTCTGGAAAACCTATTCATTTTTACTTAATACTTTTACTTTTAATATTTACGTACATTTTATGTCAGAAATTGACTTTTCATACTTGAGTTAAAAACAATCAGATACTTTAAAACTTTTACTCGAGTAATATTCTTGGGGGAGACTTTACTTTGTACCAAAGTAAATTCATGATAAGATACTTGTACTGTTACTCAAGTATCACTAACAATGTTTGTCTCCATGGTTGTGAGGGATATTGTCTGATCAGAAAATTTTCTGATTTATTTTTTTGTCAGGTTTGTCCAGAAAGTAGATTTTTAAGGAAACTGTTCCCCTGGTTATGTGCAGCCAATGAGGTGAGTATGAAAGTTGAATGTATTATTGAATGAATTATGTATTATTGTATGCAAACAGTATGATGGTGGTAATTGAATGCAAGGTTTTGTGTAGAAAGTTAAGAAGGGATGAATAAAGCCACCTGTGTTGTCGTATATTCACTGAAGGGAGTAAAAAAATAGTATTTACTTTAAKTGAGGCAAGATATTCTTTAATTTAATTTTCAGCAGTAAAGTTAGAAACCAAAATGTTATTTTAAAAAAGCAACAATGTTGCCATCTACTGGCTGAATCAYTGTAACCCACATGAACTACATAATGGTTTTTCCTTTTTATTCTTTTTTTTTGTTCTGTTGCTAGAATGTTGGTTATGCAATTAAAGTTATTTCTTTTTATTTATTAAATAGCTAGTGACTGATTTAAAATTTTACAGAAATCTGAAAATTCCCTGCAGCTTTTCTTTCTCTCATTAGTGCCTGCACTTTCATGCTTTGTCAGTGAAATGATGACACTGGATTTATGTTCAAGCAAATTATAAGAAGATATTGGATTTCCGAAATACAAATAAAATCAGATGAGTTGAAACAAGAGTCACAAAACATGCACATTCATTATTTTTCTAATGGCAGTAAAATGGTAATTCAGTCTGTAAATAAATTATTTAATGCAGTTATTAGTAATAATAGCTGGATACTAAATGTATTTGT